GATGGATGGATGGATGGATGGATGGATGGATGGATGGATGGATGGATAGCTAGATATGTTGGTAGGTAGGTAGATAGATGATGGATGGATGGATAGATAGCTAGATATATTGGTAGGTAGGTAGATAGGTAGGTAGAAAGATGATGGATGCATAGATAGCTAGATATATTGGTAGGTAGGTAGGTAGATGATGGATGGATGCATAGATAGCTAGATATATTGATAGGTAGGTATGTAGGTATGTAGGTTGATAGGTAGGTAGGTAGATAGATTGGTAGGTAGATAGATTGGTAGATAGATAAATAGGCAGGTAGGTAGTAAGGTAGACAGAAAGATAGAAAGACAAACAGACCTTTTGGATGGATGGATAGATGATAGATAGATAGATGTATAGGTAGGTAGGTAGATAGACAGGCAGGCAGGTAGGCAGGAAGGCAGACAGGCAACCAACAGAATGTGGCAGTGGCGGCATGGTGGGAAAGTAGAACAAAGCCAGAGTGGCATTGCTCTACTTTCCCAACACCACCGCTGTGTTCCAGGCTCCGCAGCTCAGCCCATTGAGCCCCTTGCATCGCTCCATGCAACAGTCAATGGGGAGAGCCAGTGGGGCCAGCGCCTCGAATGCAGCAGCAGTGGCACATTGGGAAAGTAGAGCAAAGCCAGAATGGCTTTGCTCTACTTTCCCAACATGCCGCCACTGCCTGCCCTTGGCTTCCTCAACCCTGCCCTGTACCAGCTCCAGGAAGGAAGGAACAGCACCGCCCTCTACGACCTGAGTACCCCGGAAGGGGGGGCAGCTTGGGAGGCTGATCCCTGGCAGGAGGGGCAGCCATGAACTTGCAGGCAGGCATGGCAACTACAAAGAGGGCCGCCCTTGGCTGAGCGGGATCCTAGATATTGGGCCTGTGGACAAAGCCTCCCCCTAGGTGATCCATAGATGCCACTGACTGTTGCACCAGAGTTGTGCAAGGGGCTCAATTGGGTGATCCTGCAGAGCCAGCACCTTGAATGCGGCAGCAGCACATTGGGAAAATAGAGCAAAGTCACACTGGCTTTGCTCTACTTTCCCAACGTGCCACAGCTGCCGCATTCGAGACGCCAGAGCAGTGCAACAGTCAATGGGGTGAGCCTGCGGGGCCAGTGTCTCGAACCCCCACCCCCACCTCTTAGCACCCCCCCTGCCAGATCTCTTGTCTCTTAGCGCCCCACTAAGGTATCCCACCACCCACCAGGGGGTGGTATTGCCCACTTTGGGAACCACTAGGATAGATAAACAAAGTCTATAGTTCAGCCAGATAATAGAATTAATGTGCATAGAAACTCAGTGCGTACATATTTAAAGAAGTGCCTGTGGTTATCGGATTGAATGAAGATAACTTGCTTAAGACACTAGATTTTAAATCTACATTAAGAATTTACCTTCATAAAAATTCACATTTGCAAAAGTTCACCAGAAGGATTTCTTTTATAGGTAAAAATACCAGTATCTGGAAAAAAGGCAGGTGGTTATCTTCATGTTAATTCAGAAATGGATTTTTCCCTCAAAAGGTAAGTTTTAAAAGATAGTGTTTTAAAAATAGTTGGATATTTGAACAATCATACTGTGTATGATAGTTATTTTACATTAAATAATGTACAATACTTAATAGCCTTAGAGGAGATATTGCAAGTTTGATAAAAACAAATGGGTGATGAAACTGATTAAGTACAGAACTGTGTATAATTTGCAATCCATTTCAAAATGCTGAAAATGCTGATGTAAATAAAAACATATTGTGAATTGGGTTGCTAATATAGATTTCCAAAAGTGATTCATGCAGTGTTATACCTTATCTACCTACTACCATAGGTTTTCACTGATTTGCCTCTAGACTATATAGTTTTCTGAGATAGTAATTGGAAACCAGATTGGGCACTACAAAAATAAGTAAATTAAAAAAAACTTAGTTCACTAGAAATATCAACTATTTAAAGCTTCTTAAAAATAAAATCAATGGTTTGTTATCCTTAATAGTATTTACCTAAAAGACCTTAAAACAAATGATGTTTAGGAGGACTGCAGCAATGAACCTATTTTAGGTTAAAATCTTAACTATTCTATTTCTACCATCTTCAACTATATCATTTCTAACAAACTTTTGTGTCAGCTGGAATCTACAGGAAGTCACACTACAGCTCTGCAATGGCCACAGAATTCCAGTGTACGTCTCTTCTGTGAAGACTATTTCTGGATAATATACGTAATATAGAGAACTGAGATATTATTATTATTTGTATTAGTATATTCAAATTAAATAAAGATTCTTATGGACATCCAAAACATATGAACCATTTATTTATTATTTAAAGTTTAAGGCCGCCTGCCTTCACAATTACTCTGAGTGGCTTACAGTTAAAAATGTAAAAGAAATGTAAAATGAAATTACATAGAGACAAGAATGTAACTGAATAAAGGACAGAATAAAAAAAACAACACCATGGGGTGGTAGTTGACCATCATCCTTGCAACCAAGTCCTTAACAATTTGCAGAGTCAAAGAGTAGAAGCAATACAGATCTCTATGGCTATATAATTCCTTGGGCAGGAACCATCACTGAGGAAATATGCTTCCTGGGTGCCACAAAATGACACTGCTTAATTGACCCTTTGAGGTTTAGACTGAAGCAGGTGAAGGGTGATAATATATCTAGATTTTAATTGGCTTGGATTTTTATATCCTGTCCAGTTTTAAAATAATTTACATATATTTCCCAGATATCAGGGCTGTGTATGCTTAAAAATAATTTGGGATTAATGTTTCATACTTTGCTTGAGCACAGCATCTGCTTACTATTCATTGAAGCAACTATGTTTTTCTGTAGTATTCTCTGGAAACCTGAAAAAAGATATTAAATCATGTTAATAATATAGGTTATTAAAATTGTTAAGTATTTTTCTAGGCTGATGTGGGAGCTTGAAAAAGGGATGACTGCTTTAGTTAGTAGCTGAACAGTGCTGTACTCATATACTTTTGTAAGATCCAAAATGCTTTCTCTAAATAATGTTTGATTTCAGGTATTTTATAAATGAGCCAATATGGTTTAGCAAGCAATGTGTTAAAGTAGGAGACTCTCAACCATGGAAACTCGCTGAATAATTTTGGGCCATCATACTATTTCAGACCAACCTGCATCACACAAATGTAATGTGGAGGAGACTATGCTGTATATATTCCATTAACCTCTTGAAGGGGATATACAAATCTAACAATAAAAATTAAAAACAAATAAAAGCTACTTGTCTTAAGCACTAAAATGCACTCTGTAGTCAAAGATATAGGTAAAAACCTTTGAATATAGTATTTAGTATATGGATCATACGATTTCTTTTCTTTTAAAAAAATAATATTCAATTGCTAGAAGTGTGGTGAATCACATGGCTAGGATACTGGGCTGATGATTGGCAGTCTCACAATTGTGACCCAGTGTTTCCATGAGGTGGAATGAACTCCATCATATCCTCCAGCTCCTCCTGACCCAGCAGTTTAAAAGCTGGCGACCAAAAGTACATAGATGGGTACTACATTGGTGGGCATCTTAATGGGGACATGAGTCCTCAACTGGGTGTTCCTTGGACACCGGTGATATTACCATTCAATCTTTTCAACTTGGAAGTGCTTTAGTGCTCCCAACACAACCATAGCAGTATTCAGTTGCTATATTGTCACCTGTGTTCCTCTTCCACAATTAATAGACAGGATTTACTATAATAATATGAATAAGTTTTTGAATGCCTAATAAAGACACAGAATACTTTCAGGAGATGTTCAAGTCCAATTTTGTTTGGATTGTGGTGAAATAGAAATATGCTTAATACCTTCTGAGTAGTTATGCATCATACAATGTACAGCTCAAAAATTCTGTTGCTAAGCGAGACCATTACGTGAATTTAACCATTTTACTATCTTACTTGCTACAGCTGTTAAGTGAATCACTGTAGTTGTTAAGTTAGTAACATAGTTAAGTGAACCTGACTTCCCCATTGACTTTGCTTATCAGGTCACAAAAGGTGATCAAATGACCCAAACTGCAATCATCATACATATGAACCAACTGCCAAGCATCCAAATTTGATCATGTGACCATGAGCATGCTGCAACGGTCCTGTGAAAAACAGTCTTTTAGTCAGTAATTTCGTCTTATTTCTGTTGATCTTTAGTCCTGCTACTGAACCATATTGTTCTAGTTCTTTTATTAGATTATGTCCTTTCTCCATGGGATCCTCTAGGAAGAAAACCATATCGTCTGCAAACGCCTGTAATTTATATTCCTCTGCCTTGACCCTAACCCCTTGAATTTCAGGATTTTGTCTTATCCGCGTTAACAATGATTCTAAAGCAAATATAAATAAGAGGGGTGAGAGAGGGCAACCCTGTCTAACGCCCTTTTCAATGCTTAGTGGGCCTGTTTGAAAATGAACCCAAACTCTAGTCCAAAATGTTGGAAATGTAAAAACATAGAGGGAACCTACTTTCATATGTGGTGGACCTGTAAAGAAGCCCAGAAATACTGGCAAAAAATTAGAAAATGGCTGGAGGAGATAACCAAAGATCAAATTGAATACAAACCAGAGTTCTTCCTACTAGGGATCTCTGATAAACATTTTCCTAAAAAGACGAAATACATAATAATTCATATTCTAACTGCGGCCAGATTAGCATTTGCCCAGTGCTGGAAATCATCCCGTTTACCTACAGATCAATTGGTCATTCAGAAAATATGTGACTGCGCAGAAATGGACAATTTAACCATAGCTCTTAAAAATAAAGAGTCTTCAGCATTTGATAATAATTGGAATGCATGGTATAATTGGTTTTATCAGAGATAAACTGTTTAATGAGCATAAATAAGCATAAATATCCATAAATAGCGATAAGATGTGTATATTTAAAGTAAGGTAGGAGAATTGGATCTTGTAGACTGTCAAAAAGAATATTTGTCTGGTTTTAACGTATTTTCTTTTTTCTTTCGTCTCTTTGTTTTTGTTTTTTGTTTTTTTTCTCTCTCTTTTATACTTCTTCTTCTCCTTTTTCGGTCGCAAGACCGAGCGGTTTTTTTTTTTTT